TTTTTTTTTTTTGTAGAACCAGAAGTCAATATGTTGTCTTTTAAGGTAAAACCTGTATCAATATTTATTTCCCCCACTTCAAGCCATGAGTCAAACATATTTTTTTATTCATATATAGGCCTGAGGTATTTTTTCACTAGTATTTTTGTTAACTCTTGTGCCACTTTAATATATGTGATTGTAATTTGGCCCATTTTAAGCCCTTTAAAAAATGTATTGGCATCCTTTGAGATATTTTATTGCTAAAATCTGACCTTTTTTGGTTACCACAAAAATTATTCATAAGGAGGGAATCAGCTGCATACTTTGCACAGTGGAGTCAACCACCTGCGAACTCTCCCTAAGATATTTGTTTACAGGTGCACCCCATCTTAGCTGATGTTTTGATCCTCAGTGTGTGTGCTGCATACAAATAAATGTGTTCTGAATCTTTTCATCATAGTGATAACGTTTTTACAAATGTGTTTCCAAGGAATAAAGATTATTCTTGCTTTTTTGGACTCCATCTTCATTTTATTGATTCTTGCCGCTGTGCAGAAGTCTCATTTGTGAATGACCTCAGTAATGGGACAGTTGGCTTTTGGAAGTCTGAAGGTGAGCAGTCAGTTAGGTGGCATGGGGTAAGATCATCCTGGAGAGAGGCTGCTCTTGGCACGGGTGGCTCTGCTTGTAGGCACAGCAGCGGAGGCGTTTGTCCATCTGGGGCACCTCTGGTGAAGGTTGTAGTCCCTGGTCACAGGTACTGAGCAGACTAAAGTGGTGGCAGTGGGGTTTTCCCAGTAATAGTCCTATGGTGAGAGTGGGTGTTTGTCCTGGCTACTTTTGCTCTTCCTGTCTGGGAGACATCCAAACCTATGTCTGTGGCTTCCTGGAGATGTGTGTGCTATCTAATACCCTCTAATAAATAACTTTCTGCTTAAAGTAACTTGAGTGGATTCAGTTGTTGGCAACCAAGAAGTCTAACGAATATGTATACTTATGACATCCTACTTGGTAAATGAAGTGTACAGTTTTCATTCTTTAACTTGGTGGACCTTTCTCTACTGCCTTTGACAGCTTGTCTTCTTAACAGCATCCTCTTCTGTCATCCTGCTAAATATTGGTGTTTTCCAAGTGTTTCTCCTCTGCCCGCTGCTTTTCTCAGTTACCACCGTTTACCTGAGTCTTCATTGTTATGATCATGC